ATGACAATAGTTGATAATATTGGTAGTAATAGCACATATGAGGATCTTATGAGTAATGTCATATATTAATAATGACCTTTTTAAAGACAGCCAGCAATTTGTTTCTTAGGTGAATGTATCTTCCTCTGTAGAATTATGTATTTATATTCTCCTTATATTTAATCACACAGTTTGATATATAAGAGCTTTTCTTAATCACAGTTATAGTGTAGGTTGGCTCTTTTTCTATAAAGAACTGCAGTCAATAAATTTTAGCTTTTACGCTATGGGAAATACTAAAAATGTGCTGAATAGATTCTCTGTTGGAAAGCTTAAACCAGAAATAGAAAGGTTGTGAAGACTTTGGACATTGACTTTTAAATAACGTTTTGAATTCAAGGCTAGGCAATTGTTATTTTTCTCATAAATCAACAGTGGCAAGCATTTGATAATAATCTTTAAAAACTTGTGTATACATATGCCATTTTCAGTTAGTTGCCATCATAATAATTCAGTAATACATTTTGTTTATTCATGGAGATTTGTTAGCCAGAATGAAATGAGTAGTCTTAAATTTCTCTATAAACAAAGTCCAACTTTCTGTATCTTAGCCTAAGTTAGATAGATAAAAGTCAAAAGCTGAGTCTGGGCACGATGGCACATGCCTGTAATCCCAGTACTTTGGGAGGCTGAGGCAGGCGAATTGTTTGAGGTCAGGAGTTTGAGACCAGCCTGACCAACATGGTGAAACCATGTCTCTACTAAAAATACAAAACATTAGCCGTGTGTAGTGGAGCATGCCTGTAGCCTTAGCTACTCCGGAGGCTGAGGCAGGAGACTTGCTGGAACCCAACCTGGGAGGCAGAGGCTGGAGTGAGCCAAGATCGCGCCACTGCACTCCAGCCTGGGTGACAGTGAGACTCTGTCTCAAAAAAAAAAAAAAAAAAAGTTGAGGTCGGGCGCGGTGGCTCACGCCTGTAATCCCAGCACTTTGGGAGGCCGAGGCAGGTGGATCACAAGGTCAAGAGATTGAGACCATCCTGGCCAACATGGTAAAACCCCGTCTCTACTAAAAATACAAAAATTAGCTGGGCGTTTGGCACGCGCCTGTAGTCCCAGCTACTTGGGAGGCTGAGGCCGAAGAATCGCTTGAACCCAGGAGGCAGAGTTTGCAGTGAGCCGAGATTGCGCCACTGTGCTCCAGCCTGGCAACAGAGCAAGACTCCATCTCAAAAAAAAAAGTTGAAAAGCAGGATTAGTGAGAAGATAGATTGAAATTTTTTTCATATTTAAAATTTTTATCATGTTGATTTATGAGATTACAATATAAGGTTCTTTATACAGTGGTTTTTTTCCTTTTCCTTTTTCTTTTCTTTTTTTTGGTTCTTTTTTTTTTTTTTTGCTCTTCTTTTCCTAGCTCGCTTTTATTTAAACTTCACAAGCAGGCATTTGTATTAATAGCTTTTTTGTTCTTTTTTTTTTTTTTTTCTGAGATGGGCCACGTTGTACTAATTGAATGGTTTTCATGTAAGTGAATTTTGTGAAACTCATATAAGTGAAACCCACAGAGAGTTGGTCATATTAAAAATACCACTGGAAAACTGATAGTAATATAGAAAATGTGTTACAGTAAATGCGGTTTTTTCTTGGTGTTAATTTTAGTGGCAGATCTAGGTCGCAGTTCATTTTCTGCATACCAAATACCTCTTCTGAAGCTTAAAATAACAAGATCAGAGATATTTTCTTGTTTTCCTGTGAAGTTGCTAAAATGTTAATAGCAGAGGGTAATTAGATGAATATTTTTAAATTGGTCTAACCTTTATGTTTAAGGCATTAGCATTTAGTTGCTTGGGAGAATTGCGTAAATTACTGATTTGATTTTGGGGAAAGTATTTAGATTAACTTTATTTGGTAAGAAGTATAAATTATTATTACTCAGTGTTTAATTCTCAAATATTTAGTTGTATATAGAATAAAAGATGACTTTTTCTCTTGCCAGGTGAACTGTATTTTGATTATATATAAATTTTGGTATTTGATCACAGTTTAATTACAAGTGATATTTGCAAATAAAGGGTTTTCATTTTATTATACTTAAAAAAGAAAATATGAAAGACACTGGAAGTTATTTGGCATTGGTAAAATCTTTGACTTGCTTTTTAAAGTATTTTCTTTAGAAGGTTTCATAAACGTAGTATCTGGTTGACTTGGAGTGATTTTATATAGAGTACTAGAACTGTCATTCATTTACATATTATATGAAGTAAATTCTTAACTCTAAAATTTGTTGAACTTGTTTTTCTAGATGTAATAATAGGATTAATTGGAGTATTTGTCTTAACTCTAAATTACTTCAGTTATGTCAGAAAAAAACAATTGTTTGGTGGGTAAATTCTATGCAGTAAGTACTAGACCAAACTAGAAGTTGGTCAAGACAGGACTGTATCTCGTATTTAATCCTGAAAGTTTCTTGCTAAGTATATTTTCCAACCAGTAAACAAAAGATGTCATTCTATCTTGAGTTTGTCAATCCATGATAATCCTTTAAAAATTAAATGTTTTTAAATGATAAAAGTAATATGTTTATTGTAGAAAAATAGAAAATTCAGTTAAGCAGAAAAGAAGCTAGACATTTAGAATTCTACCACCAATAGATAACTACCATTAATAGCTTGGTATATGTTTTCCCAGATAGTTTTCTTTTTTTTTTTTGAGACAGAGTCTCGCTCTGTCACCAGGCACCAGGCTGGAGTGCAGTGGCATGATCTCGGCTCACTGCAACCTTTGCCTCCCAGGTTCAAGCAGTTCTCTTGCCTCAGCCTCCTGAGTAGCTGGGACTACAGGTGTGCGCCACCACACCCGTCTAATTTTTGTGTTTTTTAGTAGAGACGGGGTTTCACCATGATGGCCAGGATGGTCTCAATCTCTTGACCTCGTGATCTGCCTGCCTCAGCCTCCCAAAGTCTCCAGATATTTTTCTATGTGTGTGTGCTTGTGTATGTTTGTGTGGAGAGAGAGAGAGAGAGAAGGAGAAAGAGTGTGTGTGTGTGTGTGTGTGTGTGTGTGTGTGTAAAGCATCTGTAGATCAGTCTGATTTTTTCATCTCTTCAGGTCCTTTCCTTCTTTCTGGAATATTTTCTCCTAGACCTTTACATGCCTGACTTGTCTTACTATTTAGGAATTATTCTAAATGTTACCTCCCAAAAAGAGCTTCAAACTTCGTGCATCCCACTTATCATTACCTGGTACTTTGTTTTTCTTGTACAATTAGATCATAAGATCTAAGAGATGCCAGGGACCATGGCTCATACCTGTAATCCTAGCACTTAGAGAGGTAGAGGCAGGAGTATAGCTTGAGCCCAGGAGTTTGAGACCTGCCTGGGCAACATAGCGAGACTCCATACTCCTCAAAAAGGAGGAGAAAAAGATCCAAGAGATTAGGGATTGTGTATGGCCTTAGCACTATGGCCCTAGTGCTCAGAAGCATACCTAGCACTTAGTAGGTTCTTAAATGTTTGGATGAATGAATGTTTATATAAAAATGGGATCAGAATGTACATGTGTTAAGTGCTCAGGAAAGAAAAGTAAGATATACATCCCTGACCTTAGATTGATGACAGTCCATGGGAGAGGTAGAAAATTAAATGTTAATAACACAGAGTATAAGTGCTAAGATGGCGATACAAAACCAAGGGATCGTGTGGCAGGAATAGCTATCCAGGTTGGGTGGGGAAGAGGAGAAGGCTTTCTGAAAGAATGACAGTCTAAACATTTTGTAACCTTCTGATTTATCAGGCAGTTTTTCCATCTATAATATAATTTATAGTGGCCGGGTAGCATTTTATAATATGTAACTATCAGAGTTTGATCAGTCCCCTGTTACTAGACATTTAGAACATTCCCTGTTTTGTTGTTTTAGATAATACTGTCATGGATATCTTTATATAATCTTCAATTATTTTCTTTTTTTTTTTTTTTTAAGATGGAGTCTTGCACTGTCCCAGGCTGGAGTACAGTGGTGTGATCTCGGCTCACTGCAACCTCTGCCTCCCCAGTTCAAGCAGTTCTTCTGCCTCAGCCTCCCGAGTAGCTGGGACTACAGGCACACACCGCCACGCCCTGCTCATTTTTTGTATTTTAGTAGAGATGGGGTTTCATCATGTTGCCCAGGCTGGTCTTGAACTCCTGAGCTCAGGCAGTCCGCCCGTCTCAGCCTCCCAAAGTGCTAGGATTACAGGCGTGAGCCACCGTGCCTTGCTAATCTTCAATTATTTTCTTAGGTAACATTTACTTGGAAGTGAAATTTCTGGGTCTGAGGATTAGAATTTTCTTTTTTTAATTATACTTTAAGTTCTAGGGTAGATGTGCAGAACGTGCCGGTTTGTTACATAGGTATACACATGTGATGGTGGTTTGTAGACTTTTGACATGTATCACTAAATTGCCCTTCAGAAAGTTGTACCAGTTTATACTTCCAGCAACAGTAGTTGAGAATGACCAGAAACCACAAACTTTGCCATCTTGATAGGAAAAAATGATATCTCATGGCTTAATTTGCCTTTGATTTGCCTATATGTATCATAGTAATTCATAGACCAACAGCAAAATATGCCCAGCTTAAATTTAAATTTTATGAAGGTTACTGAACAAAAGGATCTATGTTGTTATGATTTTGGAATTATCATATTTAGCTATCGTATGTTTCATACCATTGCTATATCATAATTTGTTTAACCATTTTCTTTTTTTTTTTTTTTTATGTGTGAATTATTTCTGATTTTTTTTTTTTGTCAGTAAAACTGCTTTGAAAAATGGATACCTTCAATTCTTTTATTCTTTTCTTCAATCCAGAATATTATTATATTTTAAGATCTCTGTCTCATTCATTTTCTAAGCACGTAAGTTGTAGTAGCAAATTCAGAGAAATCGAGGTAGGATATTTAATGAGATCAAGTACCTTAAGAAGCTTGTATGTTGACACTAGTCCTACCAACTAACTTCTTTTTAATTATTGTGGCCAGAAACACCCGATGAAAATGGTAAAACCCAGAGAGCTGATGATTTTGTCGTGAAGAAAATAAAGAAGAAAAAGAAAAAGAAACACCGAGAAGACATGCGTGGAAGACGCCTTAAAATGTACAATAAGGAAGTACAAACCGTCTGTGCTGGCCTGACCCGCATCAGTAAAGAAATTCTCACCCAAGGACAAATAAATAGCACTTCAGGACTTAATAAGGAGTCCTTCAGGTATCTGAAAGATGAACAGCTGTGCCGATTAAATTTGGGCATGCAAGAATATCGGGTACCCCAGGGAGTACAAACACCTTTCATGACTCACCAGGAACATTCTATTCGTAGAAATTTCTTAAAAACAGGTACTAAATTTAGCAACTTTATTCATGAGGAACACCAGTCCAATGGTGGTGCTCTTGTCCTTCATGCTTACATGGATGAACTCTCATTTTTGTCTCCAATGGAGATGGAGAGATTTTCTGAGGAGTTTCTTGCTTTGACATTCAGTGAAAATGAGAAAAATGCTGCTTACTATGCTTTAGCAATAGTGCATGGAGCGGCTGCTTATCTCCCAGACTTCTTGGACTACTTTGCTTTTAATTTCCCCAACACTCCAGTGAAAATGGAAATTCTGGGCAAGAAAGATATTGAAACAACCACCATTTCAAATTTTCACACTCAGGTAAGGTAAAAATTATTGTTAAAAATTATTTAGTAAATACAGTTCTAAACAGAATTAACCTCATTCTGTTGCATAGCACATACCAGCACATTTGATAACAAGTTTATGGTAATAAAGGTGCTTCAATTGTTTGTCTGTTCCTGTAATTGAAAAATCTTAATTACCAAGTTCTTTGGGTGGGGCTTCTCATTTGCTGGAAGGGTTGCTTTATACATGTTATGCATCATTACAAATCTTTATGGAAAACTAGCTTGAAAGCTTATCTGGTCTTTCACAAATCTGGTAATGTTAGTATGGAGGGTGTGATTGAGATCTGGTGGTCTCAGGATAACTTCAGTTAAGATTTGCTTTTATATCATAATAAAACACATGAGGGCATGGGCCTGTTTATTTGCCAGGTTTTTGTAGTTTTTATGACTCTTTCAGTAACTTGTTGGCAGTCCATCCCAGAAATATACCCTATCAATGTGACTTAGAAGTGTCACTAGGAAGACCGCCAGAGGCTCTGCTCCTTCTGCCTAGGCGTTGTTGTAGGTAAAGACATTTTCTGAAGCCTTGCTTGGGCAGCTAGGCTTAAGTCAGCAGGGAAACGTCTCCTTCTTAACCAGTGGTTTTAACCAAACATTTTTTTCAGTGAAGTTATTTTAGGGCATTAAAAGTTAATAATCTGTCCTAGTTTTTTTCTTACTTGCTTTTCTCATAAGAATTGAAGTTTGTGCAGTATATATTACGTATATCAACTGTAAGTTTGTGTAGTACATATTACAAATTCAACTTTAGTGGAGACTTACTTTTCTTTTTTCTTTTTTTGTTTTTACTTTTGTCTGGATCTGGATGAAGAGACTTTTACTTTTTAAACATTTATGATTATATGTGCTGTTTTTTCAGGCTGTCTGGTAATTTGCTGCTATTCTTTTCCCTTATGATTTTTTTTTTTTTTTTTCCCTTTTTTTTTTTTTTTTTTTTTTTTTAGGTAAATAGATTGTTGCCATAATAAGACTCTCAGCTGCCTGAATTATAGTGGTTTTAAGCCACTTAGATTTATTTGAAACCTCCTCTAACTTGAATCTTTTTAGTGAGTCTTATTGTCTTTGCCTCCAATGAGGGGAGTATCCAGTTTAGATTTATGAGCTTCAGAATTTCTCTAATTGAAGTTCTCTCTGCAGTAGAGAGAGCAGGAGCAGCCAATGTGGAGAGGTCGCAAGATGGGGCTGCCCAAGATGTTGGAACACCATGTGCAATAAAGGGCTTCGTCTTGGATTTTGGCATTGTTACCACAATCAGGTACCGAAGTGCTGACTTTTGTAGTAGATTTCCTTTTTTTTTTTTTTTTTTTTAGTTTTGCCCTTTGAAGGTCAGGGAATCTTTTTTTTATAAATATTGCAGAAGAGATTGAAACCATTTCTCCTAATATAGTTCATAATCTCCATAAGTTCCGTATTTAACAAGGAAAGATATTGCTGAGAGCAAAATTAACATGCTCTGTCATTTTTTTTAGTTTAGAAAAATGCAGCAAATTTTCTCTTTTGATAGACCAACAAGCATTTCTGAGAAATAAGTCAGAAATTTTTGGGGAAAAAGCCCCAGTTTTGTAAGGGTGACTTTTAACATTCATATTAGTTAATAGTGGATCAAATTTGTATGTCAGCTGATGGTATCCAGTCTAAGTAGTCAATAAAAGAAAATATCTTGAAATATTCCCTGCTGATTTTTGTCTTCCAATTAATTTTTTTAAATGGAGCTGAAATTTAAATGACTGTACCAACAACTTACCTTGATATTTACTTCGAGATTAAAAAAAAAAACACTTTTGAAGAACATGTCAGATTATTATTAAATTAGATATTAAGCACTTCAACCACATAAGATTATTGAAGACTATGTGCTCTTGTGGTCATGGAACTTAATTTTATTTATGAATTTTCAGTCATTAGAGAAGAGTGTGGTGTGGATATAGGAGGTTGGATTAGCCTGCCAAACTTTAAGTTTGCTACTTTAGCAGATGTTGGAATGGAAGTTAACACAATAGTTCAAATTTATTTAGCACTTCATGGTTTATAGAAATGCTTTCACGTTCGTATCTGAATATTTGAAACAATGTAGTGGGTAGGTAGGTAAGCAATTTTATCTGTTTCCCATGGAAGAAACTGAGGCTAGGAGATGTTCATTGTTTGTTATCCAAGGTCATATAGGTAGTAAGTAGAACAGTCCAGATGGAAACCCAGGCCACCTGAGCAGTGTTCACATCATTTTACCATGGAGAAGAGATTAGTGCTTTTAACACTGTGGTCAGTGAAATTATCGCTGTGTGAAACAGCATCCAAAAGGCTTTAGTTCTAATATTTTTAACAAATCCCTTTAGATCGTTGGGAATTAAACAAATACTTAGGGTAGTTTGGACTTATGTGAAGTCTTTTGACTTTTTGTGAAGTTCTGTTAAACATATAAATAGGCCACGGTGGGAGGATCACGAGGTTAAGAGGTGGAGACCATCCTGGCCAACATGGTGAAACCCTGTCTCTTCTAAAAAATACAAAAATTAGCTGGACATGGTGGTGCACGCCTGTAGTCCCAGCTTCTTGGGAGGCTGAGGCAGGAGAATTGGTTGAACTCAGGAGACGGAGATTGCAGCGAGCTGAGATTGCCCTTCTACATTCCAGCCTGGCACCTGGCGCCAGAGCAAGACTCTGTCTCAAAAAAAAAAAAAAAAAAACACCCTATAAATAAAGTCACGTAAATTTTTTATTGCCTTAGAGACATAGTTATTGGAAGTTATTTATAGTTTAAATATATAGCCATCATACTTATTTATGACTATATTTCAAGATAGCTTATTCAGCAACCACTCACTGAGAACTTACCATGTACTGGCACTGTGTTCTTAAAAGGATTAATTGATGAGCTCAGTCTAGTAGGGGAGATGATTAAATTAACAATTATACAGAGTACTATTGGAGTACAGGTACACGTAGGGAAAACTCTATAATAGGGGGAATGCTGTCTGTGGTGTTACCTAATGCAGACTTGAGGTAATTCGAGAAGGCGTTTTAAGCCATGTGATGCTTGAGTACAATCTTGAAAGCATGTTAATACTTAACTTGGTAAGAACATTTTAAGGCAATAATAGCTTATGCAAATACACAGCGGCATTTGAGCATGTTGCACTTAGAGGGAGCTACAAATAGGTTGACATGGCAAGAATATACACTGACTGTTAAGGGGCGGGAGGAGTTGAGACCAGAGAAAGAGAGACATAATCAAGATTGTGAAGAGCCTTATATGATATGCTTTTAAAAAGGTAGTACTTTTTCCTAAAGGTAATTGGGAGTCATTGGTGAATTTTAACTGGGAAATGCTTGCTGTCAATTTATGTTTGCAAAAATTATATAATAGTGTGGAGGATGTGGAGGATGGGATGGGGGACAGGATATGAGATTGGAAGCAAGAATACCAGTTAGTTATGATAGTAACCAGATCGTAAATGCTCCATGTCCAAACTGGAGAGTAAAGAAAGAAATTTGAGAAATAATTAGAAGGTTGAGATTTAACTAGTCTTGGTAAGAGAGAGGTATATCTTCAGATGTGGTTTGGACAAATGAGTGGGTGGTGATGCTGGTCAAAGTCAGTGCAGGGTTGAAAAAGCTGGTTTCTAGGACTGGAGGCTGTGGATGAGTTCAGTTTGAGATATTTTGAGTTGAAGGTGCCTATGGGAATATACGGTTAGAAATAACTGTTAGGAGGTTGAGCATGGTGCCTCACGCCTGTAATCCCAGCAGTTTGGGAGGCCTAGGTGAACGGATTACTTGAGGTCAGGAGTTTAAGACTAGCCTAGTCAATGTGGTGGAACCCCATCTCTACTAAAAATTCAAAAATTAGCTGGACATGGTGGCGGGCGCCTGTAATCCCAGCTGCTTAGGAGGCTTGCTTGAACCCAGGAGGTGGAGGTTGCTGTGAGCCAAGATCCCGCCACTGCACTCCAGCCTGGGCAACAGAGCAAGTCTCAAAA